TTCTCAACTGGGCATTTAGAAAACAAAGTGTGAGCGAAGAAATATATCTGTTTAATTAGTTCTCCATCTGTGGCTCTACACTAATAAATGCAAATTATTATTAATATCATTATTTATTATTTATCACTTTATCACTTCCTAGTGGAACACATGGCTTCACTTACACGTCTACAGTACACTCTCTTCAATGCAAGCTTTCCAACCTAGCCACAACACTCACCACAACCTCTCATTTCTTACTCACACAATCTCATACATGTCACCATCAACTACAACACCCAAATCACCATTTCCCATTTCCATTCCATTCCACTCCGCTCCACTCCACTCCACTCCACAAGCTTGCCTCGCCTGACACGTCATGTCACCTATCGGTCTCATCAGTGTATGCTCAAATCAAATCAATCTACACTCCCTTCCACTACCCTCCAGTGCATATTTGTTCAACGATAGCTTCTCACTTCGTTGGTTCCTTACCAGACAGTCACTCACAGTGACTTCCTCCTCACCTATTCTTATTATTCTCGTCATCTCATCTCATCTCATCTCATCTCGTCTCCCTCCATCTTCACTGTCAGTATCGAGCCGGTGTGTGTGTGTGTGTGTGTGTGTGGCAGTTGTTCATGAATGTGGTGGCAGTTTGTTGCAAATCCCTCTCGTAACACGCCACACCTAGTCTGTCAACCATCACATGGAAGCACTGACTCACTTGACTGGATTGCTGTTCAAAATCCACATGTTGTTCATGCTTAATGCAGAGTGGATAAGATGTGCACACTGATTATTTCAGAGTAATGAATGAAGGCGTGTATTGCTTGCAGTGTTTCGTATGGTGTCTGGCTTTGACGTGCTCGTGTGTGCGTGTGCCGCTGTTTGTATTTGAAACGGTGTTGCCTAGTTGTTGGGTGAGTGGAAGAGGTTACTTGGTTTAAGTTTCTCGTGTTGATGTTGATTGGAGCTTGTTATTGTTGTTGTTGTTGTTGGTTGTGTTGTTGTTGTTGTTGTTGGGTATCTTCATGTGTCACCTCCATCTTCTGTACGTTCACTTGAAGGAGGTCCCGTCTTCACTGCCTTGCCTCTTTTGTCAACTTGTTAGTTTTTGCCTGTAGATCTTTGAGTTTGTTTGACACTAGACACAACTGATATGTCTGTGGCATCTCCAAAATATAAAAAATAGCACATACCAGTCTAGAAGGTGACCACAGGTTTGTACCAGGCTGTCAATCTCAAAATGTCAAGGAAGTAATTATTATTCAAGATAATTGAAACTGTAAATGCCGTAAGCAACTGATGTAACCAATACACAAGAAAGTTTGTAAAGCACGGCGTTAAAAATACCTTACGGTTTATTGAAAGGATGAGAGATTCGAATGTCTTTGTAGCATTGATGGGGTGTGGTAAAATCGCCTTGTGTGCAATTTTGACTTCAGCCGGAAGCTACTAGACCAGACAGTCAATTCGACTGACGAGGTTGTGAACTTTGGTTGCCTGTGATGGCTTGGACATGTACTGCGCATTCCTATCCACAGCATACCTTGACGTGGGATCTTGAAGGAAGTTAGATAAGGTTGGGAAAGGGCTAAGGGTGGACAGACCTGGCACCAGTCAGTGAAGTCCCGTGATTTTTAACCTGAGCTGAGTGGGTAGATGCAAACTACATAGTTGGGGTCCTCGAGAAGAAAGGAACCAGTGGTTTAGAAGACTGTTGGTGACACGGCTGAAAATTGGTCACAAAAGCGTAGATGTAATATCTGCTGAAGGTCTTCTGAAGCTTGAATATTCATGCTAACGTTTATCTTCAAAATATTTACTCCATCATTCAATTTTGTCTACTTTGATATGTCTTTTTCTATCCAACGGTTCTTTGTGTACTACTATGAAGTGTGGCAACTTCAGCCGATGCATCTATGTGAGGGGTTCTACGTTGATTTTGTTGGTCATTCATCCCTATTCACCAGTGTGCTCCCCTTGTTGGACAACCTAGACGATGAAGTGAAAAATAGAGATCGGAATTGAGGCGTCTACCTTGAAAAACATCTCTTAAGATCTACAATGAATATTCACTTCCTCATCAACAAGTAATTCTACAGAAAATAAGGCACTGTTGCTAAGGGGTCACCACTACGCTCAATCTTAACAGGTGTTTTCTGAGGGAAATCAGAAAATGGTCCTTTAGAAAGCATTATAAGCTGGTTCAAATTTCATTGTCGTTACGTGGATGATACACTCCCAATCCTGAAAGAGGATAAGGTGAATATTACACTGGAAAAATTTGATGGTCTCCATCCAATGATAACCGTCATCAATGAGAAAGAAAGTGACGATGGCATCACCTTCTTGGATGTCTGACTGACAAGGAAAATGGGATGTTTGTTGGGAACAATGTCAACCAGTCAATATACTGGTTTTTTGAGTTTTATCCCCTTGTAATATAAACGAAATCTAATCAAATGTTTAGGCCATCTTTCAGGACTTATCTGCTTAGATGACACTTTCGATGAAAAACTACAAATTATCCGTGACCTATTCAGTAGTAATGGAGATCCAAAAGCGTTTCCAAGACACCACGGTTCCTAAGACTATACTGTCGCGGTAACATCATAAGTGAAGATATGACACAACATCTAAGGAAAGTCATAACAAGATCATTTAATGCAAAAAAAGTTATAGTATGTATTCTTAAGTCAACCAATGATGATTTCGCATTTATCAGTTCAGCTTCATCAAGGGAGTTAGGCAAATCGGACGTACAGTTAGACAAGTCTGTCATCGAATTGCCAAACAACATCTGTCATGGTTAGGTAAAAGGTAAACCAGATCTATACAAAGCTCAATACTCTCTTTTATCTGATTGACACTGGTCATCGAGTTAATATTCAAAAAGCCTTTAAAGTTACTGATTATATTACTTCTAATTTCACTCATGATCTATGAGTTCATCTTTTACATATAGCAGAATCTATCAGAAGCCAACTGAACAAGCCTATTTTACGGGTCTAGATGAAATTCGTACGGCCTGATTTTCTGCTGTGACTATATGTATAGCTTATGCAACGTTTGCAGGAGTATGATTGTTAGTTTTGGCCATATTCTTCTTCCCGCTTTTCTCTAATAACTGCCAACAATTGACCACTTGACGTAATAATCCATTTTATCTTCGCGTTAGTTAACATGACACAAAATATCAGTTATGCAACAACCTACTAAAAACTTCACAAATTCTACTATATGCGTATATTTCGTTGTTTGTGTAATTAGTCTGCGATATTGCTTGTAATCATAATCCTATCCACTCCAGGTAAAATATCAGCCTGCAGAATCCTAGAGAGACTAAAAATTGGTCTATATTCCAAATTACGACCGGTACGAGCTAGCTGGCATCAGGCAGAACAAAACATGCGCTCATCAAACTGCAACGCTATACTACGTATCATCAAAGAACAGAGTACAGAATAACAGTCAACTCAACTCAACTCAACCTCAACTTCATCAACTTTGAAAAGGCCTTCGACAGCGTCAGCCAAGACGTAACTGGACAGCTGCTTAAACACTACAGTCACAGTGCCACAATCATTCATAAACATCATTCAACTGACACATGCCATGTTATATGAGAATGCTACACGAAACGTGATTCACAATGGAAAGCTCAGTGATACCCTTGAAGTGAAGTGAAGACAGGAGTAAGACGAGGTTACCACCTACCATCACAGATCATCTTCCTCACTGTGGTTGACTCGACCGAACTGGACTGGAATGGACTGGACTAGACTAGACTAGACTAGACTAGACTAGACTAGACAATGCAACAAACAACTGTGAGGAGCGAGAAGGTAGGCACAGGCTGACTGGACAGATGAAGAGATCCCAACAGAAGATTTGCATTTCCCCCATCATGATTTATGTGTAATGTCTTGTCTCACAAACTCGAAGATCTACAGGCGACAATCACCAAGTTGGAAGAACAGATGAGTCGAGTTGAGGCAGCGAAGGTAGACGAAACTTCGTTCAGGTAAATGTAGAGAAGACAGAGGTGACAGATGAACATATCCAACAAACAACAAGAACAAGAGGCACCAATATTCATCAGTGGGAGAAATCGAAACGAAGTTGTCTCCTCCATCTACCCGCCACCCTCAACCCCTCACCCACTCCCCCCCTCCCACCTAGACAGCATCGTCTCAACTACAGGCAGTGTTGGCGGCACACATGAGCATGTGAAAGCCAGCACTGGAAAAACAGGAAGACAGGCATTCCTGCATTAATCCCAAATAATCCGTGTGGATATCTACTGCACTGCACTACACTGCACTGCACTCCACTCCACTCCACTCAGCACAAAGCGACAACAACATCCGGATTTTCAACACTAATTCAGTCAAGTGAGTCACTGCTTCCACGTGATCGTCTAGAGACTTGAATCCTTAAGAACAGCATTTACAACAAACTTCACACACACACACACAACATCAACAACTGTCACCTACACTCACTCGATCCTGACACTGGAGATCCGATGGCGAGAATAATAAGAAACAGGAAGGGGGCACTGTGACTGGCGACAAACTAACTGGCCAACAGCTCATCACCCCACAGATATACAGAAGATAATTGAGATGGATTGGATTGGATTGGATGTGACATAGACTGAGAAGACGGTTTGCGGCCATCACGTTCCAGGTTAGGCCATCAAGTGGAAGCCGAATTGGAGATGATAAGTTAGGTGTTCGAGCCATGGGTGACATGGAGGAGATGGTGTGAGGAATAAATGAAATGTTATGGTGAGTCGTGGAGCCAGGTTTAAGAGAATGCAGAGCAGAGAATGAGATGTTGGCTTGCTACTGAATCTCTATGTTCAACCAGGAACTCAAGAGACAAATTATAATGATAATAATATCTATGTTTTTAGTGACCTTGATTGATTATCACCGACCTTGAAACTTTGCGATTGATAAGCTTTTATGAAACAATTGTCATCACTGACTAGATGAGTATGTTATTCACAATGACTTTAGTCTGGAACCATAACAAAGCTCTTTGAGATACATTTTCTTTAGTTTAGAAGTTCTACTGACATACAAGAATACATATTTTTACGAAAACTACTGACTTGGATTAAATTGTTCCAACAGGCAAGATGGTGTAACAGATCATTTAACTGACAAACAATATAACTTTACATAAACAGTGACTTTCAGAAAAAGTATTCATGATTAATTCAATAAAATAATATGAATATTCAACAGATATTATGTGCTTTTACAATCAATGTGAATAGTTTGTTTTATCCTACATATCAAAATGTAGGTGGGATTATGAAATTGTCTATACTTATTTTCACAAATGTTAGGCAAAAAATGTAGTAAAAAGAGGAGTTCAAGTTTATTTTAAGTTATCTTTTAATCTGTATCTTCTTTGTCATCATCATCATCATCATCATCATCATCGTCATCGTCATCTTCACTGTCTTCACTATCTGATGGTTGATCGCTACTTTTATTCATTTTTTTGGTTTTCTTCGAAATACTCAAGTCATAAAGTTTTGGAGTGACAGTACTAACAGGTTGTGTTGTTTGAAACGATTCTTTTGTATTTTGAGCAGTTGTATCAAACCATGTTTTGTTTTCAACCATCCTTTCGGTAAATTCTAATACATCTGTGTAACTATCTCTTTGACCCTCTGGGTAATTATCATAAAGCACAGTAGAGAAATTGAATGAATTCTCGTCATGACTCTCATCAAGTGATGTCTGATTATCAGGAAGTTCGGTAACTGACTCAGTTAAATTGTTGTTTATATCCTGCATAGTGGTTTCGCATTTTTCAAGAAAATCTGATCCAGTTTCAGTCATATTTATGCACTCCTCATCCACAGTAATTGTAGTATGATCTGGAGATTCTGTGCCAGACTGTTGACTGCTTGAGTGACTGCTATTATCACTGAATTCATGGTTATCATTTGTATAAGTATCACTTTGACCCTCTGAGTAATTATCATAAAGCACAGTAGAGAAATTGAATGAATTCTCGTCATGACTCTCATCAAATGATGTCTGATTATCAGGAAGTTCGGTAACTGACTCAGTTAAATTGTCGTCTATTTCTTGCTTACTGATTTCGTATTTTTCATCCACAGTAGTTGTAGTGTGATCTGGAGATTCTGTGCCAGACTGTTGACTGCTTGAGTGACTGCTATTATCACTGAATTCATGGTTATCATTTGTATAAGTATCACTTTGACCCTCTGGGTAATTATCATAAAGCACAGTAGAGAAATTGAATGAATCCTCGTAATGACTCTCATCAAATGATGTCTGATTATCAGGAAGTTCGGTAACTGACTCAGTTAAGTTATCGTCTATTTCTTGCTTACTGTTTTCGTATATTTCATTCACAGTAATTGTAGTATGATCTGGAGATTCTGTGCCAGACTGTGGACCGCTGGAGTAAGTGCTATTATCATTCAATGCATGATAATCATACAACTCTGGGATAGAATCAGTTATAATCAGATACTTGTTACCTTCACTTTTTGCGTTATAAAAATTGCTGTCAGTTTGATTTTCAAATAGATTTGTGCTTTCGATATCCGTGTTGAGTATTTCGACGTTAGAAAAATGTGATATTGACTCATTTAAATCTGTATCGCTTTCATTTACATCTTCTAGCATATAATCACTATTTACTGTCCTTAAATCGTTAGTTTGTGAAAAAGAATTTTTATATTGTAGAGTTATATCAACATTGTTATTAGATGTATCCTTTTGTATCAAAGTTTCTTGTAATGGTGATTTTGTTACTGATTCATTCTGCTCAGGAGTTATAGTCGTCACTTGAGTAGTTGAAATTTCACCATCTAAATTAGGAAAGTAAAGTATAATGAATTATACTCCTTTATGTATGATACACTTTTGTTTATGTCAGTAGTGCTGAGTTCTCTTAACTTAATAGTTTCGAAAAGAAGTGATCTTCAAAGACATTATTTCAGTTTATCTTTACTGCTTAATACGTAGGTGATTATTTAAGTACATGCACCAGAAACAACTGAGTATACTTCTCTTCTGGGTAATCTAATGACTCTAAACTTTAAGTGTATAATTTTTTTTAAAATTATGTTTTCCCCTGGATGACAGATAGGATCAAATGAATTTCTGACCGAGTTGGTTATCGTGGGAATTCTATGTTTATTATCTTTAAACTCTCAAATTAAGCCATTATAACTAATGTTTAGAGTATTTCTAATGCAAAGATGCATAATGTTACTTAACGATGAAATGATAAACATGAATTTGAATGAAGAAAGCCATCTACTTGTCTGATATAATTTATGTCGAAGTAGTTACGGTTACTTTCAAATTATTTTCATACATCATTTTATCTCTTGTTCTCAATAGTAATAAGTGAAGCGATGAAGCAGATCTGTAGGATACGGAGATTAAAAATAACTTTGTAATAAAAAGATGATTCGTTCTAGAATGCATAAAGTCTTTATGCAGCAATCTCTGAATGGAGTCCAGATATCTGGTTTCCATCTGCATGTTGTTCGTCATGAGGGATGATGAAATCCGTCTATGAGGAGTTACTAGTCATAAGTACAAGAGACAGTTATTAGATGGCTTTGACACCACTTCGCAAGATGAATATACTACATACGTGACTTCTGTGTTTTCTTGCTACGGTGATAAGATATTCATTCAAAATACTCTTGACTCAGATTATTATTTTTTCCCCTTGGGTTCCCACTCGAACATACGGCTTCACTTACACGGCTACAGTACACTCTCCTCAATGCAATCTTTCCAACCTAGCCCCAACACTCACCACAACCTCTCATTTCTTACTCACACAATCTCATACATGTCACCATCAACTACAACACCCAAATCACCACTTCCCATTTCCATTCCATTCCACTCCACTCCACTCCACGACCTTGCCTCGCCTGACACGTCATGTCACCTATCGGTCTCATCAGTGTATGCTCAAATCAAATCAATCTACACTCCCCTCCAATACCCTCCACTCCCTTCCCCTCCAGTGCATATTTGTTCAACGACAGCTTCTTACTTCGTTGGTTCCTTACCAGACAGTCACTTACAGTGACTTCCTCCTCACCTATTCTTATTATTCTCGTCATCTCATCTCATCTCCCTCCATCTTCACTGTCAGTATCGAGCCGGTGTGTGTGTGTGTGTGGCAGTTGTTCATGAATGTGGTGGCAGTTTGTTGCAAATCCCTCTCGTAACACGCCACACCTAGTCTGTCAACCATCACATGGAAGCACTGACTCACTTGACTGGATTGCTGTTCAAAATCCACATGTTGTTCATGCTTAATGCAGAGTGGATAAGATGTGCACACTGATTATTTCAGAGTAATGAATGAAGGTGTGTATTGCTTGCAGTGTTTCGTATGGTGTCTGGCTTTGACGTGCTCATGTGTGCGTGTGCCGCTGTTTGTATTTGAAACGGTGTTGCCTAGTTGTTGGGTGATTGGAAGAGGTTACTTGGTTTCAGTTTCTCGTGTTGATGTTGTTGGTTGGGTATCATCATCACCTCAATCTTGCATACTAAGAACTTCATACTGTATCAGACATAATGTTTAGAATAAAGTAATCATTATGGTTACAATTGTTATACTTCAAATCTATCTAAAAATTGTGTTTGATAGTCGGTGGACTGATTGCTAAATTTTTATCCCATATTATCTTTACCATGAGAGTTATATCTTTAACTGACAATTAAGGGAAAAATGGGGATACTGGGAGAAATATAGGGGGAAAAGGAGGAAATGGTGCTACTGCTTATTTCAGCGAGTATACCGTAAACAATTAGAGGGTAGGAAGAAGGCATAGGCATAGTTTTCCTAAATTATTCTTGATATAACGTCGACTATGCATTTCATAATAAGTGTTTCATTTTTAAAAATACATTCTTAAGAATGAAACAAAGGTGATGACATTTGTTTTAGTGAACTTAAGTTAGTTTCACAATTGTCATTATTTCATTTCTCAAAATGTTAAGTCTAAATCCATAACTATTCCTAATAGTACACATCGGTCGGTCAGAAAAATCCCAAATTTTCCCACCGATTGATGTTTTATTGCCGGTGTAAGAAGTTACAGAAACCATTCTCTCTAATTCTAAATGACCTTTTCAATTCAGTGAATATCACGGAAGATGATAATACGATTTCTGATTCTTAGAGTGATGAGGATGTATGCGAAGATCTCAAAACAGAACTCGTAACTGAGAAACAAGTAGTTGTTAGTAGTGTGTCGTCAAATTACAGCAAATAAGACCCGTAGATGCGAATGGCATTTATTATCACACTGCGTTTAAGGATCATTTCCTTATTATTATTTGTCCCTTGACTTCCTGGTTGAACATAGAGATTCAGTAGCAAGCCAACATCTCACTCTCTGCTCTGCATTCTCTTAAACCTGGCTCCACGACTCACCATAACATTTCATTTATTCCTCACACCATCTCCTCCATGTCACCCATGGCTCGAACACCTAACTTATCATCTCCAATTCGGCTTCCACTTGATGGCCTAACCTGGAACGTGATGGCCGCAAACCGTCTATTCAGTCTATGTCACATCCAATCCAATCCATCTCAACTATCTTCTGTATATCTGTGGAGTGATGAGATGTTGGCCGGTTAGTTTGTCGCCAGCCACAGTGCCCCCTTCCTGTTTCTCATTATTCTCGCCACCGGATCTCCAGTGTCAGGATCGAGTGAGTGTAGGTGACAGTTGTTGATGTTGTGTGTGTGTGTGAAGTTTGTTGTAAATGCTGTTCTTAAGGATTCAAGTCTCTAGACGATCACGTGGAAGCAGTGACTCACTTGACCGAATTAGTGTTGAAAATCCGGATGTTGTTGTCGCTTTGTGCTGAGTGGAGTGGAGTGGAGTGCAGTGCAGTGTAGTGCAGTGCAGTAGATATCCACACGGATTATTTGGGATTAATGCAGGAATGCCTGTCTTCCTGTTTTTCCAGTGCTGGCTTTCACATGCTCATGTGTGCCGCCAACACTGCCTGTAGTTGAGACGATGCTGTCTAGGTGGGAGGGGGGGAGTGGGTGAGGGGTTGAGGGTGGCGGGTAGATGGAGGAGACAACTTCGTTTCGATTTCTCCCACTGATGAATATTGGTGCCTCTTGTTCTTGTTGTTTGTTGGATATGTTCATCTGTCACCTCTGTCTTCTCTACATTTACCTGAACGAAGTTTCGTCTACCTTCGCTGCCTCAACTCGACTCATCTGTTCTTCCAACTTGGTGATTGTCGCCTGTAGATCTTCGAGTTTGTGAGACAAGACATTACACATAAATCATGATGGGGGAAATGCAAATCTTCTGTTGGGATCTCTTCATCTGTCCAGTCAGCCTGTGCCTATCTTCTCGCTCCTCACAGTTGTTTGTTGCATTGTCTAGTCTAGTCTAGTCTAGTCTAGTCTAGTCCAGTCCATTCCAGTCCAGTTCGGTCGAGTCAACCATAATCAGGAAGATGATCTGTGATGGTAGGTGGTAACCTCGTCTTACTCCTGTCTTCACTTCACTTCAAGGGTATCACTGAGCTTTCCATTGTGAATCACGTTTCGTGTAGCATTCTCATATAACATGGCATGTGTCAGTTGAATGATGTTTATGAATAATTGTGGCACTGTGACTGTAGTGTTTAAGCAGCTGTCCAGTTACGTCTTGGCTGACGCTGTCGAAGGCCTTTTCAAAGTTGATGAAGTTGAGGTTGAGTTTGAGTTGAGTTGACTGTTATTCTGTACTCTGTTCTATGATGATGCGTAGCGTAGCGATGCATTCTGATGTGCACATGATTGGTTTCTCTGAACCTAGCCAGGTTTTTGTAGTAATTCGAATTATTACGCAGTCTCGTGTTTCCATCATTGTGATTTCGAAACGCATGTTTTGCAAATAAACTATGGTGGTTTGTCGATTACTAAAGGTTCAGCTTAACACTTGTGTCCATTTATTAGAAGAATAACAATAGCTTTTCGGCTAGCATGTTGTTTTTAGTTGACGAGGGAAACCGAAAACCCAGTGATTTCAACAAATCGTCTTGAGATCTCGTTAACTAGTTTCAGTACCCTTGTGTCAATGTATTTCTGCTCTAGAGGTTAAGTAAACGATTTACAGTAAGGGTTGCTGAAGTTATTTGTGACTCAGCGGCATGATCAGATGTTAAACAGACTGTTGGTTATAACGGCAAATCATCCCAAGATAAGTGCTTTCTCTTTGACTCTCTTTTATAGGGATGTATGTCTCTAGCGAATGGAGAGTTTGCCCTTAACTAGACAAAACATCACTCCAGAGTATTTTGTTTCGAGAAGTTTCCCATTAGAACCTATCCACATGAAGAAAGCATGAGACCTGATTGTGAATCAAAGATGCTGTAGGACGTTGAGAAGAACTCCCACCTATGGACTTTAAGAGGAAATATTGTACTATGGATGACGTGTCTATGTGGAAGGAAACGGAATGTAAACTCTTTCTGCTGTATTTAGGACGGTTATATTAAAGGACCAATCTTCCTTACATATATTTCTTAACCTGAAGTGATTGTCATAAGTAATATATCTGTTCAATCATCTTAAACTTTTCAAAAATTAAGTTGAAGGGGTTAAGTATGAGTTAGTAAATTTCCTGCATGAATATGAAGTACGCTATATATGCGAATTCAAACAAGCTTTTTGATACTAGATGGAGTCACAGATAATACATATCATGGTTGTAAGAAATAAAATTTGCTTTCTCTTAACTTATTATCTTGCTGTTTGTAGAACATCAAAAAAAAGTAGAGGGTGTTACTTGTCTAAGGAAGGAAGGAAGTACTAAGAATAAATGAGGAAACTATCAAGACGATGCCTGCAGTTCTATTGTTTTGTCGCACTTCTGCCCTTATTGCCTCATTACGATTAGTTTACATGTTGAAGTCTTTGAGAACAAAATGATTAGTCTTAGGTAAATATTCTAGAAGGATGAGAAAGAATAGGTATATCTGTTTGAGATCGTCTTGGATACTTGTACAAACCTTGACGAGTTTGCGTTAACTAATGACGATTATGCTGTAACTGCTAAAATTTCAATGGGATCAATATCATTTAGATGGTGTACATTCTACCAGATAAACTAGTTTTTCCACCTTTTTAACATTGTCGTCAACTTCTACTGCTGCTTTTGATGGACTTCTGTTAGAAATAACTATGAAAATATTCTCCTCACAGCTGAATTCCTAGCAGCTTTCTGTTCAGATATGTTTAACTGAGTACAGTTTTTCTTCTGAAAAGTCATTCGCTTTTTATTTGATGGATTTCTAAAACACGCTTACCAGTATTGTAAAATATTTGGAATACTTGTATTGATTGGTCTTGGGAGTGAAACCAATTTCATATTGTCTAGTCCTTAGTGTAAACCGAATCCTATCCATCATATTTGAAGATACGCCTTGCTGATGAGTGCAGAAAACTGCGAACCTAGGTCCAGAGCTTCCTGCCTATTGCATCTAACCAATTAACTTCTGGAATACTCATTGATTTTAGCGTTTCATTATATTAGATTAAAACTTTGTCTATTGCGAAGAAATTTTCACCGATGATGGAGAATACTTGTAGCTGAGGAGAATGATTCTGAGAAAACACTATCTAAAACGGTATCACCTTTACTAAAGCCCTAATTTTTGCTACAAGCAATTATTCACTCGTTTATTATCGAAAGTAGGACAGATAATGCTTTCAATACGACTTGACTAGTGAAGAACCCTCCAGCGTTTTGCTAGTCTACTGGTAGTAGATATTTTCCCATAATTTTACTAGCTTTAAGAAGAGATACCTGTTATTGTTTAGAACCTATTTCTATATTTCAAGGTAGTATTCACCACACGCTGACATCAATTTGTGAACCATTAAAAAATTGAAGGATTAGACGAATGTTTTGTCCCAGTGCACATACATATTCTTGCCAGCAATCGAACCAAAAACCGTCTAGTCTTCTTGAGAGTACGTTACTATTTCACCATTTCAGTCTGCTTTCTAGATGGGACTCACTGTAAACCATTACTATTTCTGATGAATAACGTCTCCACTATAGTTAGTTGGCGGACCAAACTGCGACGCTTCGCGTCATAATCGAACAGAGTATAGAATGGTAGTCAACTCGACTCCACCTCAACTTCATCAACATTGAGAAGGCCTCTGACAACGTCGACCGAGTAGTAATTTGGAAACTGCTCCAACACTAAGGAATACTGCAAACCTTTATCAGCCTCATTCAACAATTATATGAAGAAACTACATACCAAGTGATTCACAATAAGAAGAAAGTTCGGTGATGCTTTTGAAGTGAGGACAAGAGTAAAACAAGGCTGTCTACTATGATTCATGATATTCCTGATTGTAGTGGACTGGATCATGTAAGAAAAAGTGAGGGGCGAGAAGGGGGGTATACTCTGGCTGGACCGTGAAAAAGATCCTAGAATATTTGGATTTTGCTGATGACTTGTCTAATGTCACACAAACTCGAAGATCTACAGGCAAAAACTAACAGGTTGACAAAAGAGGCAAGGCAGAGGAAACGGAGGTGACGGATGAAGATACCCAACAACAACAACAACAACACCACAACCAACAACAACAACAACAATAACAAGCTTCAATCAACATCAACACGAGAAACTTAAACGAAGTAACCTCTTCCAATCACCCAACAACTAGGCACCACCGTTTCAAATACAAACAGCGGCACACGCACACATGAGCACGTCAAAGCCAGACACCATACGAAACACTGCAAGCAATACACGCCTTCATTCATTACTCTGAAATAATCAGTGTGCACATCTTATCCACTCTGCATTAAGCATGAACAACATGTGGATTTTGAACAGCAATCCAGCCAAGTGAGTCAGTGCTTCCATGTGATGGTTGACAGACTAGGTGTGGCGTGTTACGAGAGGGATTTGCAACAAACTGCCACCACATTCATGAACAACTGCCACACACACACACACACACACACCGGCTCGATACTGACAGTGAAGATGGAGGGAGACGAGATGAGATGAGATGAGATGAGATGACGAGAATAATAAGAATAGGTGAGGAGGGAGTCACTGTGAGTGACTGTCTGGTAAGGAACCAACGAAGTAAGAAGCTATCGCTGAAGAAATATGCAGTGGAGGGGAGGGTAGGGGAGGGTAGTGGAAGGAGTGTAGATTGATTTGATTTGAGCATACACTGATGAGACCGATAGGTGACATGACGTGTCAGGCGAGGCAAGCTTGTGGAGTGGAGTGGAGTGGAGTGGAGTGGAGTGGAATGGAAATGGGAAGTGGTGATTTGGTGTTGTAGTTGATGGTGACATGTATGAGATTGTGTGAGTAAGAAATGAGAGGTTGTGGTGAGTGTTGGGGCTAGGTTGGAAAGATTGCATTGAGGAGAGTGTATTGTAGACGTGTAAGTGAATCCGTATGTTCCACTAGGAATCCAAGGGACAAGTAAGAATACAATATAGTTTGTTGCCTAGGCTCTTATTCCACAACCGCTAACAAGGGGTTTATTTTGTTCTAATTTACCCTCCTTTTTTGTGATAAGGGTGATAGAATTTTTTCATTTATCTCGAACAAGAATAGAACCATTCATATTGGTTTTGTTTAGTGTTAGTGCAATGAAATGGGTTTATTCATCAATATTGTTCTGTTCCATCTTGTTGGTTAGTTGTGTGTAATTGGATGAAGTTTTTTATTGATTTTTCATCACTCAAGGTTCTACCAATCTTCATTTAGCCAATGTTTTGTTCTTGTATAGCTGAAGTAACCGTAGTCGACCACTTATGAATTTGATCTCAATGGTATTGCACGGGATTCGGCAAACTGGAAAACTTTCATTTCTCAACTTACAAAACTCGTTTCTAAGTGAATTTGACAGTTTAAATGCCTCTATAATCTCGGTAACACTGAGATTTCTTCGTAATGCCTCTGAGACGTCTTGTTTGTATAGTACTATAATAGAGGTTTAGAATTCTCTCTTCCCAGTGTTACCGTTATTATTATCAACATTTTTAACCACTACTACTCACATTTTTCTTATGGTTTCGAAAGAATAGTTAGAAATGTATAAACCATATCTCATATTTGTGGAGTAACCTGATATGAATGTAGATAGTAAGTTGTATATGAAACGTCATCCAGTAAAATAAACCTTTCTACTATGTGATATCTTTAGTAAAAAAAACCTTAGTGATATAACAGTCTACCAGCATCCATGGTTTATCCCTTTATCGGTTTTAGATGCAATGATTCCAGGTTTGAATTGTGTCGGACTCCAGAGATTTCCGAGTTAAGTTATAGGAATATAGATAATAAATTAGTTTCAAAATTTACCCAGTAAATGATACTGTTCCTTCAACTGTATAACATTTCTAATCAACAGACTAAAATGGAATTATAATCTATCACACTGCCCAAGTTTTACGCCTATAGTAACGCTTTTGATCCAACTTATTTTTACACAATTGTGATTATCATGAGTATGAATATATTGTATGAAAATGAGTAACTTTTGACCTAACCACATGACAGTATCCTGTACTCAAGGAGTGTTGAATATCTAAGTTTAGTTATAACCATCCTATTTGAAGGTTAACTGTAAGAATTTCAGAAACTTGGATTATTATAAGCTGCTCTTCAATTGATATTTTCTGTAAAAGTTTCACCTAAAATCATTACTTAGACCTGAGCAAGTCAATGAACAGTTCAGATCGAATCACAATCCACGTTTGTATGATGATGATGATGATGCTATTATCTCAGAAATTATTCATTGAAAAACATCTAACCTGTTGCTTGTGTAGGCAATGCAATCACATTTGTATAGATGATTAGAAACAGCACAAATATTGTCTTATATGAGACAATCATTGGTAAAAGATAAGAAAAACAGTTGATTAACAATCTAAAAAGAAGAACAGAAACAACTCCATAAATTTAACTATCAAAAAACTTTAATTAACAAGAAATCATTATTTCGATATTTAGAAGAATTCAGTGAAATGAAGTTAGCTTAAATCAAATCAAAACTTCAAGTGTATACAAGTCGAAATTCTTGCATAAACCAATGCGATTGGAAGAAGGGTTACTTTGTCAAACTCCCAAAGAAGAGAGACCTCAGTGTTTGCAAGAACTGGCGTGGAATCATGCTCCACTCCTGTCCAACCCAAGCTAAATATTAGGCCGCATCATCCTGGAGAGCCTAAGCATGCACTGGATTCAAAACTACGACCGAAACAGACAGGTTTCAGGAAGTACAAATCATATGCGGAAGAAATTGCAACGCTTTGCATCATCATAGAACAGAGTATCGAATGTCAGTCAACCCTCTACCTCAACTTCACCGACTTTTAGAAGGCTTTTGACAGCGTCGACCGAGAAGTAATTTGGAAGCTGCTCCAACACTACGCATTCCACAAACCTTCATCCGCCTCATTCAACAACTATATGAAGATGCCACATGCCAAGTAATTCACAGCACATTGGGAAGCTCAGTGATGCTTTTTGAGTGGAGTGAAGACAGGAGTGAAACAAGGTTGCCTACTATCCCCTATGATATTCCTGATTGTAGTGGACTGGATCATGTAAGAAAAAGTGGGGAGAGGGGAGAGAGGTATACTCTGGCTGGACCCGGAAAAAGATCCTAGAAGATTTGGATTTCGCCGGTGACTTGTGTCTAATGTCACACAAACTCGAAGATCTACAGGCAAAAACTAACAAGTTGGCAGAGGAGGCGAGGCAGAGAAGACGGGACTTCAAGTGAATGAAGAGAAGACAGAGGTGACAGATGAAGAAACCCAACCAACAACAACAAGCTCCAATGACCATCAAGGAGAGAAACTCAAAGTAAGTAACCTCCTTCACCTATCTAGGAAGCACTGTTTCAACTACAGGCTCCGCAGGCACAGCCGACGATATCAAAGTCAGAATCTGAAGAACAAGACAGGCGTTCATTAGACTGAAACCAGTGTGGACATTTTCTGCACTCTGCATTAAGCATGAACAACATGTGGATTTTGAACAGCAATCCAGTCAAGTGAGTCAGTGCTTCCATGTGATGGTTGACAGACTAGGTGTGGCGTGTTACGAGAGGGATTTGCAACAAACTACACACATTCATGAACAACTACCACCCACACTGGCTCGTTACTGACAGTGAAGCTCAGATGGCCAGAAAGGATAGGCAATAAGGTACTCTGGCTGGCAACGAACCAACGAAGTAAGAAGCTATCGCTCAAGAAATGTGCAGAAAGATGTGGAGGTGTATTGGGCACACACTGACAAGACGGATTTGGGACATCACGTGCCAGGCGAGTCACTCGAGTGGAACCCAGATGGGAAGCGACGAGTTGTGCGTCTGTGTTGAGGGTGACATGGAGGAGATCGTGCGAGGAAGAAATGATAGCTTCTTGGCTGTTGTGGAGCCAGGTTCAAAAGATTTCAGAGAACAGAGTGGAGTGGAGACGTGCTACTGAAGCCCTATGTTCCATTAGGAACCCAAGGGACAAATAGTAATAATGCTTCTGTTCACGTAATAAGTACTGAGATCCTAATACTGTGTATGATAATCTTAATATAGTTTTTTTCAGGTAAACATAACACTGAATGAAATGGATTATTTCAGTTGTGAAGTCCTGGATTGTAAACCGGCTTGATTCATGTTTTCCGTAGAGAAGACAGTACACTGCACATACAGGAAAACGCACTATTTCGCTGCTTAATGAAACCGATGTACCTTAGGAAGCTGTTCTTTCTCCTCTTCTTTTCTCTTTCCATTTGCATACTGATCAACACCTCTTCTGATTGTTCTCAGTTTAATAACTTCTTAAACGAAGTTGATTACTGATCTTCCTTAAATGGCTCTACACTCAATCCCTCCAAATGTCATTTGGTTAATTTTAGCTTAAGACATGAAAAAGACGTTTACATATTGCTTTAGTTCCATATCTCCTGCCTTGTAGATGGTTCTGTTATAGAGAATTTAGTAAGCGTCGTTCATCTTGGCTTATGTTTTTCTTCTGAACTATCTTGGTCCCTTCTGATCTCGAGCGAAATCCTTCATTTGACCTTTTATATAAGGAGACTCAGATTGTCTGGTATAACTCTACCTCTACTCTTACGTTCCGTTGATTCCTGTGTTTTATCTGTAATTACTTATTGTTTCCTTTTATTCTTTCCTGGACTACAGGAAGGAGACTAGGTCGTACTGCATAGGATTTTGAAGGCTGTTAGTCGAGCAAGTAGCACGCCCCTAACCGAGCTGATAAATTCAGTTGTGGATAGGCATCTGAACTCTTGTACACTATTGACTGAAAATATTTAACCCTATGACATGCATCCTTTTTGATCCATACCTTTCTCCATATCTGTCGTCGGAGGAAGGTGAGAAGCAAATTTGTTAAACTCTATACACACACAACCACATACAAAGATTCAATCATCCCACCTTAGTTAGCTTGTGTATTGTATGAAGAAAATCTTGTTAGATCACAGTCTTATCAATCGAGTGTGTAATAGCAATTAATTATCATATCCCTAAAGACCCTCAACATTTCGGCCATCCTGTTATTCTTTTTTATATACTATTAAACAGAACAATAGTTAGTGTTTTAAAAATGTTGTATTATATGTAAATTGATGCAATAATTCACTCTGAGAATTCTATACTACACACACAACTATGGTGGAGAATAAAGCAAATATATTACCATTTATTAATAATATTGTTATGATTGTACTATATCACTGTTTGTAATAAATCAACTAAACAAGTCTAATCTGGAACTAATAATTTGATGTTGCCTTTGCTATAAAGGATAAGAAATTGTAGAATACTTAACCAAAACCTTCTTCGATAACCTTTTGTAGACTAATTGTCAGTGACTAGGTCACTGAGATATAAACACGAATTTATGACTAAAAGAAATTAAAGTTTTCCAATGTTGAATCATGTACTGTTGTGTCATTGGCAGTGAATATTCCATCTGGGTCTGTCTTGGAAGGAGACTAAGAGTAGATGTCATATCAAGAAGCAGCATTAATCTATGTAGTATCTAAATGTTGGTCTGAACCATGTAAGGAGAAGTAAGATATCTGACTGAGGTCCCTGAGACAATAGGATGCTTAAAGATATCAGCCAAAATCTAAGTCAACACTCTAAGTCATCAGCTACTTAGACAGAGAAGTGGGATTTCAACCTCTGTTTCATGTTACTGTGTGGTCAGAAAAAACCTTATTGGACAACCATTTCTGCAACTGGTTGTTTCGTATATTGATGGAAACAGTACATGAATGACGTAGACAGTCACTAATCACATTCAATCTAAATGTCTCATCGCGTTATTATTATTACCTCGGTCAATTCAGACCCCATAGCTCTCAACTTTTGGTGGTTAGACAGGAAAGTAGTCACAGTAACTTAAATGTAAGCAATCTTTCACATTCTTGAAGTCTTGAATATTTTGTTACCTTCATCTATTTTTGTTAATTCCAGTCGCGGGTTCGATCCTTGGCGGAGTCGTGGGTGCGCACTGCTGAGGAGTCCTATACTAGGACGAAACGGCTGTCCAATGCTTCCAGGTTTCATTTGTTCCTCCAACTGATGTCAATCTACGATGAATTACAACTTGAAATATTTCCAAATCCCCACAACTCCCTCAAAACTTCGATATGTTTCGTTTAATGTCTACTTTTGCCTAGCGTGTTGCTTGAAAAATTGCATCAGTTTCAACTGATTCATTTCTGTTTCAGTCTTTAAGTTGACTTGTCTGAAAACGTTTAAGCATGGTACATTTTTTGGTAATAATGATAAAAATTGCTTGGCAATGGAATTCAGAATCCGAGTTTTGTCCTATTCGAGACTCGTCAGATGTATGTACCCGTCTTTCAGCCAATGACTTTGTGGCCACTGAGCCTTGAACCCAGGGCCAATGACTTCAAACGCCAATGCGTTATCTACATCTAGCTGGCGAGTCCAAATAGGACGAAAAGCATATCTTGGATTCTACTACTAGCCACTATCTATCATTAGTACCAAGGCATCTGCGCAGGAGCCTATATGTCAACAGGAACTAGCCAGTTTGGTCCAGTCAAGTAGTAATTATAATACACACCTGATACTCCTATTCATGGCTTTTTCTTAAATTTCGTGATATATGCTTGTTTTTATTTGTGAATGTTGGGTCTATAAAGAATATTAATCGACACACAAAAGTAAACCTTAGAGGGAAGAAACGTTATTTTTAGATGGGCATCGAAACGTTTACACTATATGCCAAACAGTATAGCACTGAAAACTAAAATTACTGATAATTTAACTATATACTGGTCGACCATTATTTCAGTCTACGTCAGCCTAACCGATGGTCAGTGATAATTCACAGGTAGTATGAAATACATAATCTTAAAATAGGCGAAACAAATATCTAGTAGTAGTATTGTGAGTAGCAGTAGTAATAGTGTGAGTAGTAGTAATAGTAATGGTAATAGTAGTAGTAGTAGTAGTAGTAATAGTAGTAAGAAGAGTAGTGATAATGACCCACCTTTGCCCAACAGTTTCATACTAATAAGCTGACTGAGATGAGGATCATTGAAGACGCAATTTTATTACATACCATATGTAAGGTGTGTGTGTGTTTGCAATCTCCATAAAAACCTACAACTCTACTAATTGAAATGCAAGAATCCGTTCATAATAGTAGCTCTTGTTAGTAACTTATGATCATGTATAAATTCAAAGATAAATCTCTGGTTTATGTGGTGTATTCTGACTGAAATGTTATTAAAAATATATTATTCATATAAAACCCCATTCGAAGATCTGTCTACGGAAAACCTACCTGGAATGGGCAACAGACCAACTTTCAAAGTTTGGCACCTATAACTAGGAAGAAGAGTCTTGTGCGCTCACTCTCCTCAAGAATAAAACAGATATACGGTGACGATACATTTCTTCAAAAATAAGAAAATTACCACGATATACCATTAGAGAATGACTATTCATTCATATTTATAGGGATAAATAAGGAAGAAAAGGAGACTATAGAACAGATTCAGACATTTCGAAGAAGATACGGATAATGAATCTCTTATTCACAAGTAATATTGATACGGATATCGTTGGTTACGTTTGGCAGCGTCTTTAAGTGGAATATTTCATGCTTAAAACCTCCGTATTGTATTCTCATGTCAACGGTGAACGAAAGACAGGTTGGCGCTTTGAGCACCATCAATGTGTACGTATGAGTTCACCAGCTGTTGTGGAGCTGAGTATGTTGGTCGTACTATACACCTGAGAATATTATCCAGCCTATTTTCTAAAGAATGAGTACAAAGCCATCTCCAGTTGCATCACTGAGTGACTGACTCCTTTAGAAACATTCTTGAAAATTCTCTACAAAGTTCCACCAAACCGTGTGCTAGTTGGACTGTTATTGACAGTCAAACCTTCGTCAATTCACTAGTTCAAACTTCAATTGTGTATTGAAAACAAACATGTTCAGACACTCTCTTTTCTTATCATCCTAATCAGCTATTCTGTATTCCTGTGTATATCTCATTTATTTATTTTTACCAGATACTATATCATACTCTTTACTGTTTCTGACAGACACTCTAGTGGAAAACGGTTATCCATTACAGTTTGTCAACCATTGTAAAAAACAGTTGACCCCAAAGCCTACAGTATCCTCGGTCCCGAAGAAAAGCATATTTCTTAAAGTACCATACAGAGGGGAAACAAGTAGTATAATATTGAAGCAGAGATTAAAATCTGTTATCAGTAAAACATACTATGCAGCTCAGCTTATCATTGTTGAGACGACAAAACACCTGCTTCACTACAAACCTCAACCTCGCACAAATGATTATACCACATCCTACTGCGTTTACCAATTTACATGTATGTGTAGGCACACATACATCGGGAGGAGTAATCGTTCAATGCAGACTAGGATGGGTGAACACATCCCCAAATGGCTAGAAAAACAGTTTAACACACAAACTTTGATAAGTGCAGGTGACAGACATCTATCGTCATCTATAGCAAAACATATTATTGAAATGAATCACAGGGTTATACAAAAACAGCGTTTAAGATAATATACAGGAATAATCAGGAGCACATACTGAAGTTCGCCGAAGCGTTAGCCATTCGTAAACTTAATCCCCCGCTGTGTGTACAAAAACAGTTTGTTGTTTCACTTAATTTACCTTGATAATCCTTGGTAATCTGATTATATTACCAAGACTAGTGTCACAACCTTTTCATATTCACTATATTTGACCTTTAATTTTCATATATAAATTGACTTGACAAGTAAATGTGTGATAAGATTGTTCGAAATGTATTGCCCAAGTACACATCACACTGCTCAGATAATCTTCGTCTTCTAATAGCGTTATCGAAACTCTTCACTGTATTTTATAAAACTAATGAGAACGTATGTTATGCTACATAATACCATTTTATTACCTGTTAATATCTGTTGATTAAGTTTGACTATTGACCGGAAAACTTCTCTGGAACATTCTGTTATTTTACTTAGTTATTTACAAATATACGGTTGGGAAAATAAGTCACCGAAAAGATGTTTATCTTCGTTGTAACCTCTTGTTTTATGAAATTCTATCATTGAAAACGTCTTACATCAATCCACATGAAATTTACTTGAGATTATAATCAACATGGTGTTTCGAACCTTACAACTAAAAAGATTATAAATATCATGTGTTTAAAACATTTACCTGCCTAAAACTCTGCAAAATAAAACATCTATTAATTTGCACAATAACCCCCTAAATAGGATTCATTAGTAACTCTAACTACATGGTGATAGTATATCTGAATGGAATGTCAATAGACAATAAACTTCCACTGGCATGAAAAATCCTAAGCACATTTTGTTTGACAGTAGTAATAAAAAGTAAATATTTTTAGGCCAACATTCCTTTATTCATTACATCTAAAGATTTGACAAGAAACAACATTCAAGTAAGTCATTTAGTTAAAGCATTATGAAAATAGATAATTCCATTCATTATGAATTGATATCCTTAGAAGAACTACTGAATACTTCTATGCCATGATCTATGGAATCAATTGAAAAGGATATGAAGAAAACTACCAACTGATGGTATTGGATATCTGATGGTTGCACTGGATTACAAATTTATAAAACTAAGGGAATGTAATTCATTGCACTTCAACAATATGATGCAGCGATAATCTGCTTACCAAGATACCTAAAGTTGTTCGGTCGTGCCCCTAGTGGGGTCATGGGTGCCTGGTACGCAGTTTTTTTCAACTGATATCAGTTTATGGTGAATGCCACCTTTAAGAGGTCAGTCAATCCCTACAATCCCTACATTTGTTAGATCCGATAAATGATTTTCAGCAGTAGAAAATAAGAAATTAAAACTGAATCATAATAAATTGTAGTCAATAAGAATAATCAAAAGGTAATTTTTAATACTGGTAAAACTAAAGTATTACTTACTGTTAAGATGAATGAAACCACCCGAAGAAGAATACAGTTCTATAAAAAAAAATACCTCGAAATTATATACTGTAAATAAGTGAACTCTGATTGGTTGTTTACTAGTTATACAGTGACATCTTAACTGATTGGTCTAATTTGTTAAACTAAACTAATATCCGATTGTCTATTACGGTCGCGTGTACTTCACAACAGTTCGCTCCTTTCTACTGTATGGCTGTGAAACTTGACCATTGAAGGTGGAAGATATGAGAAGGTTTGGGATGTTTGACCATCATTGCCTTCGTAGTATAGGCCATATTCTACGGTGTCACCATGTGATTAACTAAGAAATCAGGTGCAGGTGTAAAGTTTTAGAGAGAAGAGGTAAATGAGTTGATGAGGTTTGTGAACCATCATCGACTGAGATGGTTGGGATACATGTTACGCATGCGTAGTCGCCGATCGCCTCATCATACAATGTTTAGGGGAAGTAGGTTCAGACTGGAAAAAGGACCGAGGCGGCCAAACTTAAACATGACAACAACTTCGTCCTATTTGAGACTCGTTAGCTGGATGTACCTGCTTCCCAGTGAGTGATGTTGTTCCCACGATCCATCATTAATGTAATCAGAGCGCAGGCAATATCGAGGCATCCGCACAGGAGCCTATATGCCAATAGAGACCGATCAATTCGGTCCAATCAACAACGGCATCATATAAAAACAATTATACTAAAGCTATACCCGTCACACAAGAAGTAAGCGAATGCTTCCGAGTCCGAATCCCATTGGGAACAACATCACTCACTGGGAAGCAGATACCTCCAGCTGACGAGTCCAAAATAGGATGAACTGTGCACCACTGCTAGCCACAATCCATCATTAACATGGCACCAATATATGAACTCTTTGATTGTTAGTTTGAGCCATGTAGGGCGTTGCAGATCAGGTGGTTGGGGTCCGTGGTACAAGAGAAACCAGTGGTTGAAGACTGACTCTAGGTGGTCACACGGGTCAGAAATGATGTGAGTCGCGCAGATGTACATACACTACACATTATCCTCACCTTAAAGACGCTATAACGAGTCTCACCATTTTCTCATTCTCCCTTTCTCTCTTTTAGTACTTTATAGTTCTTTTGACTGAATTTTCTTTTCTTTATCTTCTACTCCATCGCCCTTTTACTTGATGTACTGGTGTGTGGCAACTTGGACCAATACACAGTAATGCCTGGTCCAATGTTGACTTGGATGGATGGATGGAACTAATTACCTGATACAGCTTTCGGTCATGAAAACTGTTTTGCAGTAAATGTGGTAATGCCTGTTAGAAGATCTTTGACCTTCTGATTATAGAGTAAGGACATGTAAAATCAATGAGATGGAGAATATATATATATATATATATAAATGAATGTTGTTTCAGGTGCTTATCTAGCCCGACTCTGTAAAAGTGTTTGGATACTACATTCAAACTACCTTTATTAACCACTCCATTAAGGGGTTTCGATATTCAACTCAACTTTGGGACATTTCTAGTCTGCAAAGCATAACTCTTAAATAGGCATTTTTTAACCAGAAAGCCTACTACAATAGGCATAATTAAGTGGTCGTTTGTGACCAGTTTACTCAAAGTCTTAGGTATGTTACCATCAGAAATAGAACAGGAGGTTGCTAAATATATCACACTGAATTGGAAAGAAGTATAGATGATAAAAAATGTTCCCACTCAACGGATAAGAAGTAACTAACACAAGTATCTCGAGCTGCGTATCTTAAAACCTGATAATCAGCAAACTATACTACTGCTGAACAAAATGAGTAGTTAGAAACCAATTAGGATGATTTGTAGTTTACACCAACCAGCCAGATCAGAGTGATCTAAGCACTGGAAAGTCTTTTCACTCAATTGGTAACGGGCTCATCGATGATATTTCCCAGAGAAGTTTAACTTGTACAAACGAATTAGTTCAGATCACTCGCATCTAAATATCTTATGTGTATTGACTGGAATATCGTAAATCGGATGACCAATTTACAATTTGATGAAATCCACGCGTCATCCTGAGTTGTACCTAGCTACTCACTTTGTTTACTAGTTCATGACACTTTTGCGTCAGTGAATTTACCTCTTGATCTTGGCCAATGAGGGGTAGGTGGGTTTCCAACACTATAGTTGAACAGTTGAAAAACTACTCATCTGTAACAAATGTCAGATAATCAACAGTCTACGAAAGATTTCACTGTCTGCTTACTTGGATTTTCAAAAGAAAAACATTTGCAAAGCATAAACACCTAAGCCTTGGAACATATGAATGACAATGCCAGTTGCTTTCATTTCCCTGATTGTTGGTTTGGATGAAAATTTGTACAGAGTGACATCTAAATCCCTTTAGGAGATCTTAAGATAATACGGTACTGGTCTAATATCAGAGGAAAGATCCTGACATCTAGAGACACTATATAAAAGGATACAGGAACAATGAAGTGAAAGGAGAGATAAAATCGCAGGAAAACTCCAGTGAAGAAAATTTATTTTGTCACAAACATTCCCAAAAACTGTACAACTGAATTTCAATATCACTACTTTCTACATCTAATGGTGGCGGTTAGAAGAGTATTAGGAAAAGGACGGTTACATAATAAGCATGAAGATAAAAAAGAGTGCAAACCAAGGATTGAAGAATGCTTCCCTCACTATTCTCTAACTAAAGCTTCAGTAAAGCATAATAGACGTTAACTGACGTTAACGATATAGCAGTGAGAAATTATCATTTTCAAAACAACAACTTATACCCGTTGTACAAGAAGTGACTCGCGTGCCTCAATCGCCTAGTGGATAATGCTTCAGAGTTCAGATGATGGATACTGGGTTCCATTCGTAGTGAGGTAAAAGTACATTCATCTGACAACTCCCACAAAGGATGAAACGCATAATCTGGATGAATACAAGATCATGAATATTCGACAGTATTGAGGCATCCATATAGGAGCCCATCAGCCAACAAAGATCAATCGATTCCACCTTGTATCAAGATTTATGCCTGTTGGAAGATTTTCACCTTGGTTTTGAACGACCTACCTCTGGATATGGCCTAAGTTACTAACTTCACAAGAGAAGATCGCAAGATACATACTGATTGACCCAAACAGTAGTGACTATATATAGTTTGTGCAATTTACTGCCACTCAATCAGGTTTCTTAGCTTTACGATTAATGTCAGTGATACCGGCAAAATGATCCTAGAAGATTTGGATTTCACCGATGACTTGTGTCTAATGTCACACAAACTTGAAGATCTACAGGCAAAAACTAACAAGTTGACAGGAGAGGCAGGGCAGCGAAGACGAGACTTCCCTCAGGTTAATGTAGAGAAGACAGAGGTGATGAAGATACCCAACCAACAACAACAAAAACCTCCAGTCAACATCAACACGAGAAACTTGAACGAAGTAGCCTCATCCACCCACCCAACAACTAGGCAACACCGTTTCAAATACAAACAGCGGCAAACGCACACACGAGCACGTCAAAGCCAGACACCATACGAAACACTGCAAGCAATACACGCCTTCATTCATTACTCTGAAATAATCAGTGTGCACATCTTATCCACTCTGCATTAAACATGAACAACATGTGGATTTTGAACAGCAATCTAGTCAAGTGAGTCAGTGCTTCCATGTGATGGTTGACAGACTAGGTGTGGCGTATTACGAGAGGGATTTGCAACAAACTGCCACCACATTCACGAACAACTGCCACCCACACTGGCTCGTTACTGACAGTGAAGCTCAGATGACCAGAAAGGATGGGCAATAAGGTACTCTAACCAGGAAGCTATTGCTCAACAAATGTGCAGAAAGATGTGGAAATGATTTGGGCACACATTGATAAGACGGATTTGGGACATCACGTGCAAGGCGAGTCACTTGAGTGGAACCCAGATGGGAAGCGACGAGCTGTGAGTCTGAGTTGAGGGTGACATGGAGGAGATCGTGCGATGAAGAAATGATAGCTTCTTGGTTGTTGCAGAACCAGGTTGGAAAGATTGCATTGAAGGGAGTGTACTGTAGACGTGCAAGTAAAACCGTATGTTCGACTAGTAATCCAAGGGACAAATAATAATATAATGTAATACTATCAAAAAGTCTTCATCAGTTGTAAGTAAACATTTATGATCACTTCAGTTTATCACCGGATTCTATAGGTGAAGGAATTCTAGATTAGTGAGTGAACTTTTATTTCATTTAAATAAACAAAATCTAACCGTAAGCGTGATCAGTTCATATATTCTGAACAAATTTAATATACAGATACAATAGCACGATATATATGAAAGGTTCAATTTTAAGTAAAATATTCATGATGGAATTTTCAGATTATAAAATTGTTACATCTAACTAAAAAACGAAACAGATTAAACGCTTAGAAAGGATGTATGAATAATTAAACTAGATTAACTGGAATGAACAATTTTTTCAACATAAACAAAGATTCCTCTGCTAGTTACCATCACATCATAAAGTATCAAGGCATCTATATAAGAACACATCTGCTAACAAAGGTCGACCAATTCGGCTCTGTATACCAACGGGAACTTAAGAGTATCATAACAACTCTGTGATGTTTAAAGTGGTTCATTCCGGGTTCACTTCTCAGTGGGAACAATATTACTCACTGAGAGGTAGATACATCCAGCTGACAAGTCTTGAATAGGGCGAAACGCAAGTCCTTGATTCCTCTGCTGGTCACCAATATCAATAAGTATGATCAAGTGTTGCATTCATAAATAAGTCTACTGGATGTGATTGCGTAACCTCAAGTTAATTTATGTGATATACAATGGATTGTAGCAAGACACTTAAGTGATAACAACGTCATCTTCATCAAATGAAATTATTATCACAGAGGTTGTAATGAATCTTTAAGAAGATACAAACAGCACAATTAGCTAAATTACCACATCCAACATCAACAAATCAAGGCAAAAGATGATAAATGGGAAGACAGGTACTGAAGTTAGTAAGAATGAAAGGTACACAAAGCAGTAGAACAA